TTGAAATAAAATTAAACCATATGTTAGTCCCGAAATGACCTAGTTTGTGTCAAGTGGATGTTAAACCCCATTTCTCTCTCTCGCTCTTTATTCCCACTCTGTTATGTGACAAGGAGTAGGGTCACCTGTCCAACCTCATGGGTTTTCTCAGGGTCTTCCCGTTTCCTCCCACGGCTAAAGACCCCTACACATCAGCGAATTTTTGAGATAAAAATTCAAACATATGTTAGTACTGAATCGAGCTAGTTTGTGTAAATGTGGATTTTGAACCTCTCTCTCTCTCTCTCTCTCTCTCTCTCTCTCAGGACTTTTTTTCTATTGTGGTTTCCCCTTGTCAGTGGTTTAGAATAAAGGTGGGCTTGATATTGTGGTAAGAAACAGTTCAGATGAGATGAAAAATTGAGGTCCATTGACATTTGGAATTCGAATATGTGAAATATATCAAGTCAAAATTTCTCTGTGTTAGCATACTAAAAATCATAATGCATGTCTTCATTAGCTCTGTTTGAGGTTGGATGTTCGATTGGTTAGCACATGCGTGTTGTATCATAAAGTCTGTCATTTAGTCAACTGCCGTGGTTTTGATTCCCTGGTTGTACGTGAGTCAATCTCATGGGTTTTCTCCGGGTCCTCCGGTTTCCTCCCACTGCTAAAAGACCCCTACGTGCAACCGAATTATTGAAGTAAAATTGAACCATATCTTAGTCCCAAAATGACATAGTTTGTGTCGAGTAGACGTTAAATCTCCTCTCTCCCTCACATTAACCCAGTTGTGCAGAAAAGTTGGACATTTGATTTTATTTTTGCACCTGATCAACAGTACCATAACCAGGATAAAGTATAACAATGGGTGGAAAAAAAAAAAAAAAAAAAATTCACACAAATTTTAAAGAGATTGGTAAATTGTTTTTGAGCTTGATAGATTTGACGAAGTTGTAAGTTTTATTGCTGTGTTTTGAAATATTTAATGTATATGTGGCCCGAGGCAGTCTAGCAAGTCATCTCAATGTCTGACTATTCATCTAATTACTTTGTTATATATTACCATTCAGAGAGAGAAGTCACCTTCTACTTTGACATATGTCAGTGACGGTCAGCTGTCGTGGGTTGATGAATCGTGGGGACAGGGGATGAAGATGTTGCAATCAGACTTGATGATTATTAATAGTTTTTAAAGGGACAATCCCGATTTTAACAGAGTCTCGAAAATCAAAGTCTGTGGACGTATAAAATTTAAGGGGCAAAATATAGAGGAATGGTGTATTTTTATCTTTTCTAAATATTTCAGCTCAAAATATTGAGTCGTTTGGACGTGAACTTCAAAAATGCTTATCTGGATGCATAACTCGTTTACGATTTCGGGTCAGTTTTTTTCGTTGGGTGACCTGATAATCTATTGCGGTTCCTTTAAAGATCTTTTCAGTGCATGACCCACGTGCTGTACTTGATAACGAAAGGTAAATTTCAACTACACATTATTTTTATAAAATAAAAGTCTGATTTTATCCAAACACTGTATTTTATAGCTTCCAAGTTTAAGTTGTTTTGAAAATGTATCGCGTATGTTGAGTTAAGTGCTCGGCCCTAACGTAAAGGAATTTAAGGGCTTCTAACACTAAAATAAACAGCTTTATTCTTCAAAATATAATTGTGTTTGGCCCTTTAAGTCACTGATGACAATATTGTAATACTGTTCACACACACCCAATATTCCTACTAAATAATGCTAAACAAAAAACCATTTAACTAAATCACTTCTAAATCACTTTCGTGAATAATCGAGGAATTTTCTCAACGGGATGGGTAGATTTACGATTCACTGAGTCTGATATGTTTTAGTAGGCTATTAAGGAAAAACAAAAGACACATTGATTATGTACCAAATATTTTCTCACTTGCCCTCGAGCCAAATGGAACCTTGAGATTTTTTTTTTTAAACCATTCAGGGGCACACTGGTGCTTTCTCTTCCAAACTTTGTCATCCAGTCAATTTGTTTTACCAAATTTTAAATCTAATTTTTATATGCCCACATTGGAATGTGGTCATATATTGTCATCGTCTCCATCGGTCTGGCGGACACAATTTATATATATGCACGGTGTTTAAGATCATGAGATGAAGAAGCCTATTGATTTTAAGGATAATTGATAACTACTGCCAGAGTTATGGCCCTTGATCACTTTGAAAAGTCTTGTGGACACTCTAGAGGCTGAATTTAATATCTTATTGACTTTAAACTTATACACAGAGATTAAGGTCTTGAGACGAACAAGTATATTGATTTTCAATGATTTTTGATAACTTTAACAGCTAAATCCATGCTATTAAATGTTTTATATACTAAACGTTAGCATGGGGTCGAACTAGAAGCCAAACAAATTCTAGTTATTTCTGTTATTTACTTCAATTAGATTTTAGTGTGTTTTCCAACTTTTAGAAAAAATTCTAGTTATTTCTGATATTTACTTCAATTAGATTTTAGTGTGTTTTCCAACTTTTAGAAATAATTTTAAGTGTATTTACACATAAAAAAAAATCTATAAATTTAACTGGTATTAATTCATATAAATTGTATTTAGTTGTATTCTTTGGAATTCTATTTGTATGGAATGTAAATTGACTGATTGATAAATTCTCTGGAGTTTCTCCAGACAGTCAAGAACGGGGAATAGGATTGGAATGCAAATCCTGGGGTACATGATTCTCAAAAATCAACTGTTTCTTAGTAACACATTATCAGGTTAACAAAGTCATTTGCTTAATTTTTCTAAATCATCATATACAACTCTCTCTCTCTCTCTCTCTCTCTCTCTCATAAGTTGTAAGGGGTGTAATGCAGATGGTAGGGTATGCTGTAAAAAAAAAAATGCTGGACTCTTTCTAAAAGACCATATATAAATAATTTCTTATTTGTTTTGTTTTTGTATTGGCATACTCACATAGCAAATAATTTATATTGTCGGTTCATTATTAACTCTTCCTAAATGTTATTTTGTTATCATTGTCCATAATGATCAAATAACAGACCAGGCTGAACAAAGACTGGTGCCTAATGGTTGATTTCATCTTTTACTGCTCGTTAACCAGATCACAGTTATCTTATTTAAACTCGCAAACGCGATAAAAGTTATTGAGTTCTGATATTCAATCTGTAAGACTGTATCCACAGTATAATTAGATAATACTAGAACGTTATGGACAAATAAATGTGATATGCAGTGCATTAAATTCACATCTAGATGATAGGCTCAGCTCAACTTGTATTTTATTAGGCTGATAATGTGGAGATTTCACTTAATCATTGATAAAATATTATATCAGTTCATTTGACATCTACGCAAATTAATTTTCATTTAAGTTGATGTCTTGTGTGACATTGTGAGAAAGGGTTACATTAAACTAGGCACGCTGTATCTCTTTGAATTATGATCTCCCGAAAGGAAGTGGATATATGTAATTCAAATTAGATAGCTGATGAGTTGCTTTTCTTCTTCATTATCCATAAATTGGTAAAAAAGTTTAAACAGAATATAAATCAGACTCAGTACTTGAAAATAAAATGGAGCCTACGCTGTCTAGATACGTTTACATCATAAGAGTTTTACACCCGATAATAAAATCCACCATTAATTTATTTCAAAGTTGTCAGTTTGGTTAAGTGTTAATTAATATATTGAGAAAAATATTTAAAGGTGCAGGATGTAGACACTGTATACCATTACATTGAAGTTCTCATAAAGAGAGAGACAGAGATACCGAGACTTAAACTAACCTTTGTAGCACGCATCTCACTCTCAGTGACATTTAGAAGGTCACTTTAAATGTAAAATAAGTTTTTATGGTAGGGATGGTTAATGTCCAAAATCAATTTCATGATAAAGACACAAGACCTATAAATAACATGCTACAGATATCCTTAATGGATGCATGAGAGTGACAAAGATCCATAAAAGACTTATTGAATTTTAACGGATATTTTTTAGGGATTGTTTTAAAGCTAATATCTCTAGCTTTCTGCTTTCGAGATCTATATAGACACGGATAATATATCATAATAAAACGGAATTGATTTACGTGGATGCCATAATGCTAGATCTGTTTCATTGTATTTAGGAAAATATTTTGATAGCCTTTTAGGTTTTATGGTAGACAAGGCTAATTGTATTGGATATTCTGGAATTCATTAAAAATAACAAGATACTCAGTGGGGGACAACGCTAAAAGGGAGTTAATCGGGTTTGAACAAAAACAAGCGAAATTTAAAATTTGACAAATGACGTGGTAAGGATTTTGGGTTGTAAAATATTATGGAATTTCTTTGATATCAATTTTTTATCCCTTGAGAGTCGATAATTCATTTTTTTTTTTTTTTTTTTTTTTTCATTGTTTGATTCCATATTTGTTTTAAAAAAAATTCTGAAACATCAAATTTGGTTCACTCATTAGTTGAAAATATTTGAACAACAAATTTGGTTCAAAAGTGACATCAAATTTGATTCAATCTTTGAAAATATTTGGACATCAAATTTGGTTCAAAAATTGTTTGGAAATATTTGAACAACAAATTTGGTTAAAAAATTGTTTGGAAATCTATGAGTGACATCAAATTTGGTTCACTCATTAGTTGAAAATACTTGAACAACAAATTTGGTTCAAAAATTGTTTGGAAATCTATAAGTGACATCAAATTTAGTTCAATCTTTGTTTGAAAATATTTGGACATCAAATTTGATTCAATCTTTGTTTGAAAATACTGCAACTTCAAATTTGGTTTAATCTTGGTTTGAAAATACAGCAACATCAAATTTGGTTTAATCTTTGTTTGAAAATACAGCAACATCAAATTTGGTTTAATCTTTGTTTAATACTGTAACTTCAAATTTGATCTTTGTTTGAAAATACTACAACATCAAATTTGCAAAGTCTGGCACTGAGTTTGTATAAATTTATGGAATATTGATTTACTTTTAGATAAAATTGATTTTATTTAATTCTTCAGATCCGATGAAATGGAAATGGTCATGGCTGATCTAGAACGGGCCAATGAGGTAAATTGAATCTTTAATTGCAGGGGTGCGGGGGGGAATGTTATTCTTAAAATTTATTTTAGTGAGCAATGTTTTGAAATGAAAAAAAGTTTAAATCATACTATTGCCAAATTATTTAATGTGAAAAGCGGATGATTTCTTTTAATGATAATAAAAAATATTCATTTCTGTAGCGCTAAAACTCCACAAAAAATGTCCTTGTAAAACTTGAAAAATATATCAACTTGATAAATAAAAAGTTTTTGTTGCGTTATTTCAGAGGGCAGCAGCTGCAGAACGTGAAGTAGAACAGCTTCGTATCCAGTTTACCTCAGCCACCAGAAATCAAAGTGAGGCAGAGCAGACGCATCAATCCAGCGACATGGAGCAGGCTATTGATATTCTAAAACGCTCCAACTTAGAGGTGGAACTTGCTGCCAAAGAGAAAGAGGTAAATTACGACTATAGCATCTCCTTTTATCGTAGATTGAAATGACCATTTGTTAGACCATTTGTTTTTTAAAGTTTTGACTTCCAAACTGACATTGTCAACGTTTTAACTAGACTTTAGCCCCTTTGACTTCCAACCTGGGCAAAATACAATCTGATTACCCACAGTTCCATGCAAAACGAGCCGTTTCATTGGCTAAGCCCTCACACCATTCAGAACACATCAGTGATAACAACTCTTCCAGATCCTAGTGTAGTAAAGACAAGTAAAACGAAATTTTGAACTATAAAAAACGAAACGAAACAGGATCTGTGTTTTAATCAGATTGGGCAAAATAGGGAGCGACAATCAAGTGGTATGTCACTGTATTAGCGATTAGAAAGTGTCTTGATTTTGCATCCCTTCATGTCCTGTCTCGGAGATAAATTCGGATTGGTATCAAAATTCAAGGTCTGCTCATGGACACCTCAGGATGCCTGTAAAAGACCCTTCACAGTCGGAATTTGATTAAGAGTAATATAATAAAAAGGAAATGAAATGAAATGGGGGTTTAACGTCCGACTGTTCTCCTCTGTTAACAAAAAGGGTAAACACATGTTAAAAAAAGTCATTTAAAAAAAACCCCCAAAAATCATGGTGTTAAAATCCGCTGTTCTGAGAAGAAAGGGCTGGTCATCTTCTCCCTGATCAATGCCTCATATATAGATAAGACTTTTTACTGGTATATTCGATCCCTGCATTGGCCGAGAAAGCTCATCACGATTTTCCGACGTGGTTTCCCCTTGTCAGTGGTGCAGGACAGCAGGCCTAACAAGGACAGCTGTCTAGTCGATTGGATGAGATGAAAAACCAAGATCCCGTGTATACATTAGTATGCACATAAAAGATCCCTTGGCAGTTGGAATTCGATATAATAATAGTTCAAAATGCCGCTGCCCAGGCAAATTGCCCATCTTCATTAGCCCAGTCAGAGCAGAACAGTAAGACATTAAAATCCATTTCATTTAATTTCTACTGGTATATATGTACTAAGACAACATATGACCCGTTTCTTTACCTCGTATTTTTTATCGGAAAAACTGTTTTCTTCATCTAATGACATAGTTTATAAAAACAAAACCTAAAATACATCTACAAAGAAAACCTAAAATACGTCTACAAGAGTGTAAGACAATATTTAACACTAGCTCATAGTTTTTACAGGGAAACTATTCTATGCATGAAATTTTATAGTTTACACAAAAAACGGCTTGTTCAGACAATAAAAAGAATTATTGGTTGTATGCATAACGTAATCAATTATATACTTGTTGGTGTAATTTAAATTGATTTTCTTATAAAATCGCATCTTATTGTGTGGACTTATGGAATGAATAATGAATGTTCAAATTCAATATCATTGATCGCTTTAATACATTACTTTGTTTCAGTGAGATAATATATTTTCTTTACAAAGAATAGCGTCGATATAGATAAAAAAACAGATTATTTGGATATTTCGATCATTTTAATCTGCTTATAACGATCCTGCCGAGGCCACTACAATTAGAACTTTAATGACATCAATATTCGATTAAGCGCCAATGTTTTTCTTGAGAGGAAAGTAATAATTATTCGTCGGAGAGATATTGGTGTGGTTAAATATTAAAAAGAATAATAATGATCTATATAACTGCATGCCCACTTTTCAATTTCTTTTTGCGTAGAATTTGGTGATTTCGATCGACGCTAATGAGAAAAATACTTGTAGAAAGATAACATTTTGATTACGCAAAAAATGGAATATTTAAAAAAGACAATACTTATGTTATGATGCGTGCATGTCAAACTAACCCATTTTATATATGGCTGTATTGATTGAATTATGAGTAGAATCAATATTGGACGATAACGATAGGTTTCGGAACATTGATTGGCATTTGTCAGCCATGTTCTTTTGTATAATGATCACCAGCTATTCACTCTAATTGAGCTAATTCTTGTCTTCCCTAACAGACGGACATATTTTTCGTATTTTCTTTTTTCCTAACGTCACTAATGATTTATGTATCAATTTATGTCCCGAGTATACATTGGCGTGCACGTATAAGATACCTTAGCAGTTTTAATTCGATATAAGAGTAGGCCATAGTGCCGCTGCCTGGGCAAAATTTCGTCATAGCACACTGTATTGGCCGAGAAAGTTCATCATGATTTTCCGGCGTGGTTTCCTCTTGTCAGTGGTGTAGGACAGCAGACCTAACGAGGACAGCTGTCTAGTCGATCGGATGGGATGAAAAACCGAGATCCTGTGTATACATTAGTATGCACATAAAAGATCCCTTGGCAGTTGGAATTCGATAAAATAATAGTTCATAATGCCACTGCCCAGGCAAAATGCCTGTCTTCATTAGCCCAGACAGAGCAGAACAGTAGGACGTTAAAACCCTTTTCATATCAATTTATTGATTGAATTTTTATTTCTAAAACTTGCGATTTTCAATAAGACGGATGGATACAGATAATAAGTTTATCATTGTCATTACACTAAATGTCAGCGAGAAAGAACAAACAAACTTATTGTCAGCAAAAATGGACGTCTTCCTTTTGAACTTTTCCCTGTCAATGGCTTTCCCTGACATCATCACTTATTGATCACTGATTGATTGGCTACTTATCTTAATAATTTTCCTGTTGCCATGGAAACTAATGTACACCGCACCCATTCCTCATTTAATCATTGTCATTAGTTTTTGATTATTTCTGATCGATCGGTGATCGGGTGATTGATTGAGAATAGATAGATTTGACTCGTAGATCGCCAAGAAACACAATAACATCAATACACACTGTCAATCGCCATTAGTACAGTTAAGTTATGTGTCGACGGCACGCATGTAGACTCCGACAGTGAATGGAATTAAAGCTTTTAATGGCAATCAAAAGCCATTTTGCCGGATTAAACGCCAGCGGTATATTATTGATCAGGAAACACGCGTTACTAGTTGTAATTATTTCCATCGGTCGTGTGTTTATCAATAATTATAGTTTAACATTTATACTTAACTTCCTGAACACAATAATTTGTCAGTTTCTTTATGATTTAATAGCTAATGTTGGTTATTTCTATACCAATGGACTTCGATCAATAGGGGGTGTCCTGGTTATAATATTTTATTTAATGATGTTGGTTTATTTATCTGTTTACAGATCGCCCAATTGGTAGAGGACGTCCAGAGACTACAGGCATCATTAAACAAATTGCGGGAGTCCACGGCTTCACAGGTATGGTATATACAAAAGTTCGGTTAAACCTTGGTCACCCCTGTTCCCTTATACTCGGTCACCCCTGTTTCCTTCAACTTGGTCACCCCTGTTCCCTTATACTTGGTCACCCCTGTTCCCTTATACTTGGTCACCCCTGTTCCCTTATACTTGGTCACCCCTGTTCCCTTAAACCTTGTTCACCCCTGTTCCCTTAAACCTTGGTCACTCCCGTTCCCTTAAACCTTGGTCACCCCTGTTCCCTTAAACCTTGGTCACCCCGGTTCCCTTAAACCTTGGTCACCCAAGCCTTAACCACCTGTTTCCTTTACCCATGACCACCTCAGTTCTCCTTAACCCTTGACCATCGCAGTTCCCTTACAGAATTAAAAATAAAAGTGATCTTTGTAGCAAAACAAACCGGCTTTGAGAAAATACCTTTATTTTATTTTATTTTGTCATAAATCATAGATGTTTGTCAACTGCCATGGTTTTGATTCCCTGGTTATATGTAACAAGTATTAGGGCCGCCTCCGGTTTTCTCCCACTGCTAAAAGACCCCTATGCACAAGTGAATTATTGAAATAAAATTGAACCATATGTTAGTCCGGAAATGACCTAGTTTGTGTCAAGCGGACATTAAACCCCATTTCTATCTCTCTCGCATAGAAGTTTTAGCTCTGTTCAGATTTTCTATTTTAATCTTTTTGCAATATTTGACTTCGATGCCTTTAGCATCAGTATAAATATTTAATATCGAAAATACTTGAAATGTCTTGATGGTTACAGATAACACCATATTATATTTATATATTTAATTTTACTGTGAACACGATATAGAAATTTCTTTATTTGTGCATTCATGCATAGTATTGAATTTAATATCAAATGTGGTTTGCAATGGGGTTTTGATAGAGTGGGGGTGGGAAGAGGCCAAATGGTTAACATTGTATCAGAAGGTCTGTCATTGAGTCAAGTGGCATGGTTTCGATTTCCCACTTGTACGTGACAAGGAGTAGAGTTGCCTGACCAACCTCGTGAGTTTTTGCCGACTCCTCCGGTTTCCTCCCACTGCTAAAGACCCTGATGCACAAGCGAATTATTGAAATAAAATTGAACTATGTGTTAGTCCCGAAATGACCTAGTTTGTGTCGAGTGGAGGTTAAACCCCATCTCTCTCTCTCTCTCTCTCATGTCATAAAGTAATAAATTATTCAGATGACTTTATCTTGACAATATTAATACGTTTCAGCACAATTTGATATTTATCTGTTAATAATGTCATTCTAAGATTTCTTTCCACTGAATTTGAAACTTTAAGGTTGTAATCTGTTTTGATTGGAGAGCAATTTCAATATTTTGACAGCGGCTTATTTTGTGGTCTTTAGTCATTATGTTTAGTTAAGAAAAATGTCTGGTGGTTACTCCCCTTGGAGTTCGATTCATTACAATCTTATCGATTTCTTCACGTCCCTGGCTAAAACTGCTTTTAGCTGTCCAATTTCTTGACGACATGCGATTGTCTCTTTATTGGTAATTGTTCAGGGAATTCTTTCTTTTCTTGACTTATTGAGTTTTTATGGAAATGTTGTCAGTTGGTCTGTCTATCTATGCGTCAGTTCACTACTCCTTGTGAACACTGTAGAAGCTACAGTTATCCACTGATTGATTTTAAATGTACAGAGTGTTTAGGTAAATGAGATGAAACAACCTGATGATTTTGAACAATTTTTGGTCAGTCCTTTCAGACCCCTATGCGCAAGCGAATTATTGAAATAAAATTATACCATATGTTAGTCCCGAAATGACCTAGTTTGTGTCCAGTGGACGTTAAACCCCATTTCTCTCTCTCTCACAACTAAAATCATTTTTGCCAAGCCTGAGTCTTGTATTCTTTCCTTTTAACGAATTTCATAAAGTTTTGAATCTGTAATTTTATTTTTACGATATAGGCTGAAAGAATTCTATTAATTAATGCAAACATCTGTTTTTTAAACCGAAAATAATTAATTTTTTTTGTACTATTGTATTTTTACTAATGATCATTTCCCTTTGAACTTATATTTACTGATTTTTTAACGAACAAGAAACGTGTGTATCATGATGGAGTTTCCACTACATGTACGTAATAATAGAAAATATGTTGATGACTAAAACTAATGTAGAAACAAAAATTTAAAAAGTGGAGAGAGAAAAAAAAAAACAAGTGAATTATTTAGCTAAGAAGATAGAACACACCTCTTCGGTATTAAAAAAATCTGCCATAACCTTTCTTGAAATAGGATTAAATTTGTATAGAATATGATAGAATGCAAGTAAATAGGATATATCTCTCATTATAGGTCTTAAAACTAAAAGATATTATTACAATTATAAGGTTAAATTTCATTGGCTTTGAATCAAAACGTGCCGATGGCAATAAAGACAGTTCTGCAGAAAACAATAAAATGTGTCATCTCATTTTCAAGTCATACATCTTTTATAACATAAATTATTTTTGAAACAATTGTTTTTAATTGGATGATTAAATGGTTTCTAAGTGTGATATAAACTTCGTTAAGGAAGCACATGTTTTCTTTATTCCCTCGCGTTCTCATTCTTAAAGTCATTATTAAATGGAGAACAATGGAACAATGATTCGTGGTCGGAGATATTAACTATTTATAAAAAGATTTGAACTCTGTCTTATCACGCCCTTCATAGATTATTTTTTTTCTCTTGAAAGAAAAAGGATTATTTTTATATTTTTTTTTCTGTTGTTTTTATGTGACATGTCCTTGTCGAAATTTCCATGCCAGTTCTATCTGTACATTTATATGTTGCTATATTTTTTTTTTTTTTTTTTAAACAAAAAACAAAATGGAAGATAAATGTGATAAGATAAAAAAAAAAAGAAAATATGAGGAAATTGATTTTGAAAATGGATGGGAATTTTAGAAATTTTAGATTTGTGTGGGAGATTATGCCATCCTCAAAGAATTCTTTGTCGAAAAAAATTTGAACTGTATGTTATTTGCTGCATTCCTGTTACTGTGGGGGTGCTCAAGTGTATATCCAGAATGTTCTGAATTGACAGAATTGTGAAAATGAAATGAAATTAGGTTTACTAACGTCCTACTGATCTGCTCCAACAGGGCTAATGAATACAGGCATACACCATGCAGTGTGCTATGAGGGAAATTCTACCCAGACAGTGGCACTACAGCAGAATGGTTAACATATGCCTGTTGGATCATTGAGTCAATTAGCATGGTTTTGATTCCCCACTTGTCCTTAACAAGGAGTAGTGTCACCTGTCCAACATTGTGGGTTTTCCACAGGTCCTCCTGTTTCCTCCCACTGCTAAAAACCCATGTCCGTCCCAAAATGACCTAATTTGTGTCAAGTGGATCTCTCTCTCTCTCTCTTTCTCTCTCTCTCTCGTTCTCTCTCTCTCTCTCTGTTTGAGTATGTTTACCATGTAGGTGTGTTTTATCAATATAATCTATATGACAACATGGTATGGATGTTGTGTTAACTATTAGATATAATGAATAACATTGTTCGTCTCCACTGTAATCACTAACGATTAGACATATTAGTGCCACAGACACCAAGATATAATTATACATATATGGATCTATTGATCTCCTTTAATTAGAATCCCCAACGCTGGATACAAAATCAATTTTGGTTCAAACTTAGATTTTTTGCGAATTGAACTTTTCATAGTTATTCTAATTATTTAAAATATAAAACCTTTGTGTAATTTTGTTACTATTTTTTAATTAGGAATATTTTTGTTAAGAACATAAGTTATTGATATCCTCCAGGAAGCGTGTAGTGTCACTAGGTGTATCAGTATTTTTTTTTTTTTAAAGGACATGTTACCCAAATTTAAAGATACATTATGCAAGAGCTAAATCTGCATATGTTATATAAACTATTGATTAGACATTTATTAACTTCAAGTAGCTAAGTATCTAACTCAATATTATCCAAAATCTTTGACATTGAAAAAACAAATTATTTGTCGGTTTATAACAACATTGATGTTGTGATCTTACCGGGAAAAGATGGCCTTCTGATATCCAATATTTAAAATAAAATAAATATTTTACAATTGGTACACGAATCGTGTACCATAATGCGTTTCAGCGCTATTTGTAATAAGGGACTCGAAAAACGAGGCTAGGCATATTCCACAAGTCTTGTCAAACGGTGACGGCATATTCTTATCTGGAGAGCATGCGCAATAAATACTATCGGCATAGACTGGAATAACCAGATGCTAGAGATTGCCATTCGATTGAGACTTCTTGCATATTTTGCGGAACATAACTGATTAGAAATTAAAGTAAAAACAGAAACGATTGAATGTAAATCAGTTTATATACATTCATATTCCATTATTGTATGCGTTGCGGCCCATGTGTGTCAATTTCTAGGTCCCAAGTATTAGCGATTTAGCTCCTTTAACAAGTCTGTAATCATCTCTCTAGACTATTGGATGGCAGAGATTTAATGCATTGTTTGACTAAAAGATGGGATTAGTTTTTGTTGTTGTCGGGTGGGGGGTGGGGGCGGAGAGAAAAACTTTTTTAAAAACAGAAACTACTTATATATAATTAATTGATTTGATATAATTTTATATATTATTCCCCGAAATTTTGGGGAATTAACCCACAAAAATTGAAATGCATATCTGCTGCATTGTTTGATTAAAATATAGGATTGGTTTTTGTTTTTTTTTAAACTTTTGATAACATATAATGATATCATTGTTAATTTTGTTTGGGTTAATAAAACAATCACCCGCTTTGTGTAATAGATTCTTCATTATCCAATAACCAGACTCTTTATGCTGAAGAGTGGATCAGTCTATTTCTGATTTAGAGGGGTGTTATTTTTATATGACAGTCCTTAATTTCATGGCATCTGTATATACAAGCTAAGAGAAGAAGCCGTCAGTAATAAATAATGATACAAGCCAAGTCAAGATCGTAATCCGGGGTTCAAGACGGGGTTCAAGACGAGAGTTCCTCGGTACATGTATTAGAAATGTTTCTACGAGTAGAACTGTCTCTGACATTATTGATATGGTGGTATGTGCAGTTTGTCATAGATTACGTGGTAAAGATAGATGCTAAAAATGATAAGCTGTCATTATGGTGAATTTTAAATGAGCATCTGCAAGCGAATACAAAACTATAAATCACAAAATCTCAGAAGTGTTTTCCTTCCATTTTTTCAAATTGGTTTGAAATGTAATATACGATAGGTCTATTGGTGCAGTTTTATTGATAGGCATCAAATAAGCCTATGTTCGTCTGTCAGAAAGAAAATAAAAGCTATATTTTTTATGACTTTGTTAGTGAGACTCGGAGTATGATTTGGAAATTGTTTTTGAAGTTTTTGATGAAGGTACGATTTATTTGTATAAATTATTGTGAAATTTGTGATTATTATCGAGGTAAATTTTTGTTTAAATCAAAAATTTGAAGAAGTCTGATGTTTTTTTATCCATTGTTCGTCAGCTAATATCTTGATAAATAATTTTGTTGCCTAAAATTAATCTTGCACAGGTTCATATAAATTGTTTCAATGAAAAATGAAACTGGAAATATAGGGAAGACAAATAGAATACAATTTACGGTTTATGAGCGAGTGATATTTCTGGGACTTGCCGTTAAGTCCCAAGAACAAGTAATGTTTCCATAAGTCATTCTAAAGATATGGATGCAGTTTGTAAACACACAAGATATATTCCAATAGAATACAATTTACTGTTTATGAGCGAGTGATATTTCTGGGGCTAGCCGTTAAGTTCCAAGAATAAGTGATGTTGCCGCTAGGATTCTCTGGTCATTCTCAAGTAATGGATACAGTCTGTAAATACACAGGATATATATCTATGGAGTACAATTACTGTTCATTATGGATCGATGTTTCGACTAGATGTTTCTTGCCTTTATCAATTATATGGAGAGAGAGAGAAATGGGGTTTAACGTCCACTCGACACAAACTAGGACATTTCGGGACTAACATATGGTTTAATTTTATTTACATAATTCGCTTGCGCTTAGGGGTCTCTAGCAGTGGGGGGAAACCGGAGGCCCCGGAGAAAATCCACGAGGTTGGACAGGCGACCCTACTCCTTGCCACGTACAACCGGGGATTCAAAACCGGGCCAGTCGACTCAATGACAGACTTTATCAATTATATGGAATACGATTGCTGTTGCCGAGTAATAAACAGTGATTTTACTCCATGCAATGTGACCTGTGTATTTATGAATTCTGGACATTTGGAAGAGTATTTGAAAAGGGCTGCAGATAATTTATAATTTATTTCTGCAAATGTGCGAGAATATAAATTTTATCTCCAGTTAAAATTTGGTGGGGGGTTGTGATGTACTAGTGGTCTAGAGTATCGCGCTTCATTATCTAGTTGGCCGGTCACCTCTGGCGTGCGGTCGTAGATTTGATCCCTGGTGTGAGTGCTTGTGGTTTGAAGATATGGGCGCGTTCTCAACCTGGTTTACTCCCACAGGAAAGAACCCTGCAGGGGGCTAAGCATAATAAAATAAGACGACTTGTCTGTGATATCACAAATATTTTCCGACGTGGTTTCTTCTCGTCAGTGGTGCAGAACGGGGGGCCTGACAAGGACAGCTGTCTAGTCGTTCAGATAGACGAAAAACCGAGGTCCTGTGTATACATTGGCGTGCACGTAAAAGATCTTGCAAAATTTCCCTCATAGCACACTGTATGGCAGATGCCCATCTTCATTAGCCTAGTAGGAGCAATTAACCACAAAAAGAAGAAGAAAAAACAATTTGATGACTGCAGTAAATAGGGCCTGTTTAAATAACAAAGAAGAATTAATATTATGCGTATGCCCATCTTCATTAGCCCAGTAGGAGCAGAAGAGTAGGACGTTAAACCCCATTTCATTTCATTTAAAGAGAAATAGAAGAAGAAAAAACAATTCGAAGACTACAGTAAATAGGGCCTATTCAAATGACAAAAAAGAAATAATATTGTGCGTAGGTTTAAAATATATGAAGCCGGGTGTTTATTCTATTGGCAGAAAGATATATAAGGGTTGTCGATAAATTATTGTGTACAAATGTTAACATTGTGAAAGAGGGTAATATGAGCCAATGATTAAGAGAAGATTACACATGGTTAATTGACATCCTGATATCTTGGTTATTGTACATGTATTAAAGGGAGAGAGAGAAATTCTGCATAACGAATTACCAAGAATTATTTTTGTGGAAGTCTCGTTATATTAAAGGGAATGGAAGCTTATAATTAACCCATTTCCTACCGGGACCTCATTTAACCCAATTCTGGCTTGTTCATTTCAAAATGGATTAGGAATCCTGGGTTTAACGTATTCTTCACATCACTGAGACAATTGGCATGGTTTCGATTTCCCACTTGTATGTGGGGATCACGGTGGCTAAGTGGGTTAGACGCTTGCTCGCTAGCCTGGAGGTCGGGTGTTCGATCCCTGCATTGGCCGAGAAAGTTCATCCAGTTTTTCCGGCGTGGTTTCCCCTTGTCAGTGATGCAGGACGGAGGGCCTGACAAGGAAAGCTGTCTAGTCCTTCGGATGAGACGAAAAACCGAGGTCCTGTGTATACATTGGAATGCACGTAAAAGATCCCTTGGCAGTTGGAATTCGATATAAGAGTAGGCGATAGTGCCACTGCCCGGGCAAAATTTCCCTCATAGCACACTGTATGGCGTATGCCCGTCTTCATTAGCCCAGCATAGTAGCAGAACAGTAGGACGTTAAATCCCATTTCATTTCATTTCATTTCCCACTTGTATGTGACAAGGAGTAAAGTCGCCTGTCCAACCTTGTGGGTTTTCGCCGACTCCTCCAGTTTCCTCCCACTGCTAAAGACCCCTACATGCCCGCGAATTATAGAAATACTATTGAACCATATGTTAGTCCAGAAATGACAGAGTTCATGTCGAGTGGACGTTAAACACCCCCTCTCTTTAACTATATGAGATGTAGATTACCCATCATCGATCCCTGTCAATCAATACTTTGAATTATTGAATAAAAGAAGAACTTGTATTGAATAACCGATTGATTATTCACCGTTTGTGTTTGAAAATATCAATAACTGTGATGACGAATATTGATTGAAATTCAATAATTAATTGTTCGAATCGTGTAGCTTATAAAGCGTACATGCATAATTTTCAATGCTGTATTTTGTTCTAAATCTTGCATTGTACTGAAATTTCGGTCTTTGAAACATTACAGACTTTGTTCAAAATCTTTTGGTTAGAGTTCAGATTGCATATGTATTGTTCAAATTTCTTTTGTCTTGGAAGCCATTATCTATAGATGTAATATTTGTTTATTTTAGGTCTCGGCACTAGAAGAAGAACTTTTATCTAAGACAAAGGCTTTGCAGGTTTTAGAAGAAAAGCTTCGAACACAAGACGATTATGAGGAAGTGAAACGTGAACTCAAGTAAATATATCATTTCATTCATACCAGGGGGAGCCACGGTGGCTAAGTGAGTAAGACGCTGACTCACTAGCCTCGAGGTCGCGTGTCCGATCACTGCATTGGTCAAGAAAGGTCATTGGGATTTACCGGCGGGGTTTCCCCCTTGTCAATTGTGCAGGACGGAGGGCGCGACAAGGACAGCTGTCTAGTCGTTCGGAAGGGACGAAAAACTGAGGTCTCATGTGTATATAGTGGTGTGCATGTAAAAGATCCCTTGACAGTTGGAAATCGATATAAGAGTAGGCCGTCTGTAAATGTTTCAAACCTCTTCCACTGCTAAAAACCCCTACGCTGCGCAAGTGAATCATCGACAGAAAATTGAACCATATGTTAAAACGAAATGGCGTAGTTTATGTCGTGTGGAAGTTAAACTCCATCTCTTCCACATGACCATCTAAAATATAATCTATGATGGTTTAATAAGCCTGTTGTATTATCTCTTCTCTTTTTGTGAACAGTTCGTGTCTGACCAGAATCGGCCATTCATGACCTCAATTTGATGAAGCTAGGCCTGTAATTTTAATGAACCTGTCACAAGCTATCAACAATGCCTTTTGGTTTTAATCACAACCACTTGATAAAGCTCACTGGAAAGCAGAGGGTTGTTCAACTTGGATTTTAAATTTTTTTAATTTTTTTTTCCAGCGTTCTAAAATCAATAGAATTTAGTAGCAAGGAAGAAGGGAAAGGCAAATCTTTAGAAGTTTTGTTATTGGAGAAAAATAAAGCTTTACAATCGGAGAATACGACGTTGAAAGTTAACAACACAGAAGTCACAGGTTAGTGTGGTGAATAAAGAGGAACTTATATTTTCATGGTTTATAATATAATCAAACTTGGCTAAATCGATGATAAATAACGATAGATGAAAATCATTTAGGGTACATAGATCTAAAGGCCTGAAATTTTAATGAACCTGTAGGCCTGGAAATAATGGTTTTATTTGTACCTGAAAAAATGTAAGGCAGTTGTGAAATAGTACCGGAAATTTTCAACTTAGTGCTGGACATGTATTAATAATACCAATAAAAAAAACAAATCAGTGCCGGACAAAATGACAGGCACCAGAGGTTTAGTGCCTGACAAAGCCTGAATCTGTGTCTGACATTGTCTGTGACAGGTACCTTATTTCCAGGCTTGTGAACCTGTCTCAAGCAATGAAAAACATCTCTCCGCAGAAATGTTAGCTGGTTTCAATGCTAAATAGCAATTGGTAAAAATGAGGAAGGGTAGATCAATTTGAGCTAACTCTAAAGATTTAGAGAGATTAGCTGGTTTCAATAACATTTGAGATTGATTAAAACTTTCCCCCCCCACACATAACTATTTTAACTGAGGACAGTATAATATTGATGTCCATTGTCCACACTGGAACAATCAAGCGAAACTGGTATGTCAAGTTTATCTTAAAATGACATTTCGGTTTCAAAACAGATATATGTAAAATCTATATTTGTTCAGGGATTAGAAATAACTCGTAGTCGTAATGTTAAGCTATAAAAATCAATCAGTCAATTAGTAAATCAATAATAATAATAATATTGATCTGTCGGTTTAGCCAGGTTTGACTGTATTATCTATAATTCAACTAGTGGGAGAATATTATCATGGTTTCTATGACAACAAGATATGTTCACATTTATTGCAAAAACAAAAAAAAAGCAGAAAATTTTGCTGCTGGATTGGTTTTCAGTTCATCAACGCCTTATAGCAATGATTTCTTCTCTAAAACAACAAACACAGCAAATGAAGTAAAAAAAAAAAAAATATCAAGGTTCTGGAAATTTATTTTTTGAGGGTCTAATAATGTTATATGGGTTATATTTCACTGCAACTTTTGGGTATCATGTAGTTGTTCTGCTTTAGTGGGAGTTTCTGTATTTAATGTTTAGTTTCAAACGATTGTTGGCTAAAATTGTTCAAATTTGTTGAGAAAATGATAATAAAAATCAATTTGTATAGCGCTGAGTGGTCCAGATAGCATGCTACTCCAGGGTACTCTGAAGAATCATTGAAAAATATTTCGTTTCTACTGTCGCGTAATTTAAAATGGTCCCTCGAGATTAGATAATAAGTGTTGGGTTGGAAACTGTTTACTTTCCCCAAGTGGTGTCAAGTAATTAATTAGTGTTGGGTTTACAACTGTTTACTTTCCCCAAGTGGTGTCGAGTAATTGATTAGTGTTTAATTTACTTTCCCAAAGTGGTGTCGAGTAATTGATTAGTGTTTAATTTACTTTCCCCAAGTGGTGTCGAGTAATTAATTAGTGTTGGGTTTACTTTCCCCGAGTGGTGTCGAGTAATTAATTAGTGTTGGGTTTACTTTCCCCAAGTGGTGTCGAGTAATTAATTAGTGTAGGGTTTACTTTCCCCAAGTGGTGTCTAGTAATTAATTAGTGTAGGGTTTACTTTCCCCATGTGGTGTCGAGTAATTAATTAGTGTTGGGTTTACTTTCCCCAAGTGTTAGGTTTACATCTGTTTACTTCATTAGCAGTCAATTATTCAACACCGCCCCGTCTTCATTAGCCCAGTTCGGAGCAGAACAGTAGGACGTTAAACCCCATTTCATTTCATTTCACTCAACACCGCCCGGGACAGTAAACGGTTGTAAACCCAATAGTTTTCTATGATTCTCAGTGAATTTGAACAATTTTCCAACAATGGCTTGAAACTAAACATAAAATACAGAAACTTTGCTAAAATAACACCGCTACACAATACTCAAGTTGTAGTGTTTCTTAGTCTATGAATTGCTTCATCACCATGGAGATGTATTAATTTTCTTTTTTTTTCTGTAAGAAAGGTGTTTTATGCCCATGATATTAATACTCCATGCAACTATTTAAAGGATTTTTCTCCCCTTTTCTATATATACCATGTAGCCATCTATATACCCCTTCAAACCAATGTGGTTCTTATAAAAATAAAAATATATTAAGGCAAGTACCTCATCACCTTGACCGGTGTTAAAAATATATATTCTAATAAAATCTAATAAGCCATATATATTTATTATTTACCTTTTTTTTTTTAATTTTTTTTTTTACCATTTATTTATTTTTTTTTTTTTTTGCATGCTAAGATCTAACCCAGATAAATTTCAATATCATGTGTGCATTTTACACCTTTCTTGCAGGAACTTCATCGCCTCCGTCTCCAAGTAATTCTAACAAGGGAAACTTTGCGTCCCCGACCAACGAAGACGCAGTTCAATCTACCAACACTCTCAGTTCCAAACCCTCTACGCCATCGTCCAACGGAATTCCCTCGGATACGCCTCCTGTTAATCATCATCTTCCATTTTCTCCGGATGCTCGTTTTCCACCGCCTATGGCGTTTTTTCCATTTCCTGGATCACCAATACATCCAAGTTTCATGCCTTTAAATATGATAAAGAATGAGTCTCCGTTGTCGAGCTCAGGTGCATTAGACACTTCATATGTGGCAAAAACAGTGCGTGAAATTCTAAGTGTACATAATATAGGCCAAAGACTGTTTGCCAAACACGTGCTGGGACTTTCCCAAGGAACTGTGAGTGAACTTTTATCAAAGCCGAAGTCTTGGGACAAGTTAACGGAGAAAGGCCGTGAATCGTATCGGAAAATGCACGCCTGGTCAGTGGATGACAGAAATGTTCTTGCTTTAAAAGCTATTTCACCAAAGAGGGGTGAGTATTTGTTTTGTATTATAATAAACTATTTTGGAATTGGAGGGGTGATATTTGAACAAAATTCATAGATAAAGGGAGATAACTCTCATTTAAATATAATACTAATAGCTAAACTCCAGTTTCTGTCGTACTCATATAGCAAATGATTCAACTCTTGAGTTAATAGTATTGATGCCTGGAGTAATTTCACGCCTCTAGTCATAGAAATCTAGGACTGCAGAGCCAAGATTTTTTATATTTCAATTGTTATAGATAGCAGGCCATGTCATCATCCGAGAAAATTTTTATTTAGTATTCAGGATAAATCTGAAACCCCATTTCGTTTGATTTGTTAATTACGGGTGGCTTAGTTATAGCAGAAATTCAAAATATGTTACGTGACGAAGAGCCTTCCCAAATTCCTCTTCAGTAAGCGACTAGTTTCGTTTTTATTCCAACTCTTCATTCTCAATTGAGAATATGCTCTAGCAGATTGTGTCATCTAATAATTGAGTTGTTATGCATGTTGAATCTCATGCATCGTTTGATTTAATTTATTTTGAAGGCTCTCAACCATTAGTATCATCCTTACCAAAAGAAGATTTAGCAACTGAAGAGAGAATTGCCCATATTTTAAATGAGGCAAATCAAGCTATGCATATAAAGAAATCGATAGAACAGGTTCGTTAAGATAATTCTATATTTTTACAGGGTGATTAAGATGGTGGCTCTTTAATTCCATTCCTTTAAAGGGGGGCTGAAGTGGCTCAGTGAGTAGGATGCTGGTTCTCTAACCAGGAGGTCTCGGGTTCGCTAGCGGTGTTGGTCGACATAGTTCATCTAGTCGTAGGGGGTTGGATGGCTGTACCATAAGGCCTGTCATTGAGTTAACTGGCATGGTTTCGAATCCCTGGTTGTACGTGACAAGTAGTAGGATTGCCTAGTCAAACTCGTGGGTTTTCTCGGAGTCCTCCGATTTCCTCCCTCTGCTAAAGACCCCTACGGCAAACACATTTTTGAAATATAATTAAACCATATGTTATTCCCGAAATGATCTAGTCTGTGTGGAGTGGACATTAAACCCCATTTCTCTCTCTCTCTTTTATCTAGTCGTCGGATGTGACGAAAAACTGAGGTCCTGTGTACACATTGGCACGCATGTAAAAGATCCTTTGAAAGTTCGAATTCAAAATGTCAGTAGGTCGTTTCACCTCCATCCGGGGAAAAATTTCCCTCAAAGCACATCATATGGCATATGCCTGTTTTCATTAGCCCCGTGGGTGCAGAAAAGTAGGACGTTAAACCTCATTTCATTTCTTCAGTCTGAAATGTGACCAAAACAAGTCAATGATTATGTAGAGTTAAGAAAAATAAAATTCTTTAAAATGTCAAATCTCACAACAACTAAATGAATTGCCTTGTGTTTTTCAGCAACAAGTTGCCAATGCTGTGGTATCTAGCATTTATCAGCAGGAGCTGTCTCGAATGGTTGGCGGGAACCAATCACATCACAGTTCATCTACAACACCAGTGTCTAGTGTCTCCTCCAAGGTCCACTCAACCACTCACAAAATATCTGGAGATCGGCTCTCCCGCCATTCTGTCAGTTCTCAGGAAAGCGAGGCGTCCGCGGAAGAAATGGTCAGTCGCATTTATCGACAGGAGTTGGAAAAGTTGGCCAAAGCTGCTGAAAGTGCAGGAAATATTGCGGCAAGCTCCATGTATCAACAAGAACTAGCCCGTCTGGCCCACACGTACAGCCAAATAAAACTACAGTCGAACGGTTATGATGGCCACAATATCTTCGATACGAAAATGGAATGGAATGTGAAATCGGAGCCGCCAGATAGCACGTCTGACGACATGTGTAATAATAATGGTCCAATAGACCTTAGTAAACATGGCTCCTGCTCCTCGCCACCGTCACCTAACGGAGAGTTGACCGACTCCCGTCATTCTGGAAGTGCCTTTAATCTTGTCCGACCTCGTTTGAACGGACACGATTCTTCTGAGAACTCTCGACAACCATACTCCTCCGAATCTTTATCTCCTTTGCAAAGGATGCAAAATATTGCCAATTCTTTGACCTCCCGACCTCAACTTGGAATGCCACCTTCGAAACCACTACGAGCAGTGCTCCCGCCGATAACGCAGGAAGAATTTGATAATTATTCAAACGTAAATACCGACGATCTGGTCAAAAAGGTGAAAGAAACACTGAGTCAATACTCCATAAGCCAAAGACTATTTGGAGAAACTGTACTGGGATTGTCACAAGGGAGCGTCAGTGATCTATTGGCCCGACCCAAGCCGTGGCACATGCTTACGCAGAAAGGGAGAGAGCCATTCATTAGAATGCAGTTGTTTTTAGAAGATGCCGAGGCCATCCCCAAACTGGTGGCTTCCCAGTATCGAATCCCTCCAGACAAGTTAGTACGTAGCCAAAGTAGATCGGCAGATGAACAACCCACAGGTACGTATTCATGCTTCTTGATTTTTTTTTTTTAATTTCGTTTATTTTTTCTTATTTTTTTTTCGATTGGGGTAAGTACTGTGATAGAATATGATTAAGGACATATTTTTTTTTTTTTTTTGAAATCTTGATAATGATTTAAACGAACAGAGTGATAGTGTCTGATACTGACTGTTTAGTTATTTATTACGAATGTAACCTTAGATGCTTGAACATGGCCATGCATTCAGCACAATTTTTTGGGCAAAGGTGGTGCACACACTTTTCTTCTGTTATGTTGTTTTTTTTTGTTTTTTTTTTATATTGCAATGCAACGATACCTTTTTCTCAATAGACATTTTTTTGCACTCTGTATTTTTAGTAGAAATTTGTTATTTATTTTTTAACTTTTTTTTTTTTTTGTAATTCCCAGCACTTCTCTAGATAATGTTCACCTATATTTTTTTATAGAGAACTTAGTTAGGTATCCTATAGTTTTGGTTGTTAGTAAAATCTCAGAATCTGTTGTTAAAGAAAAAAAGAAATCATGAAATTCTGTTTGAGCAGATTATAGAAAACTATATGTACTGGGCTATATTTGGTGGATTGGCGCAATGAGTAAGGTGCTGGCTCGCTAACGAGGTCCCATGTTTAATCCCGGTTTTGGCATAGAAATTTCCCTTTGTCAGTGTTGCAGGATGAAGGGCCCCGACAAGAACAGCATCTAGTATTGTAGAGCTGCAGTGGCTAAGTGGGTAAGACGCTGGCTCACTAGCCTGGAGGTCGCGGGTTTGCTCCCAAAATTGGCCGAGAAAGTTCATCAGGATTTTCTGGCATGGTTGCCCTTGTCAGTGGTGCACAACTGAGGGCCTGACAAGGACAGCTGTCCAGTCGTTCGGGTGGGACAATAAACAGAGGTCCATATTGGCTTGCACATATAAGATCCCTTGGCAGTTGGAATTCGATATAAGAGCAGGTTGTAGCGCCGTTGTCCAGGCAAATTACCCTCATAGCACAATGTATGGCATATGCCATCTTCATTAGCCCAGTTGGAGCAGAACAGTAGGACTTAAATTTTGCCTGGGTGATAATCTTCAAATATGTTCTGTACATACAGAAAAATAATTGTGGCCTATCCAATTTTACGAAATTGTTCTGTAAATGTGTGTTTTGTGAAAAATTAGAGGGGTTGGTTGGCCGAATGGTTAGCGCATGCACGTTGTATCATAAGGTCCTCCATTGAGTCAACTGGCGTGGTTTCGATTCTCTGGTTTTCTCCCACTGCTACGCGGAATTATTGAAATAAAATTCAACCATATGTTACTCCCGAAATGACCTAGTTTGTGTTGAGTTGATGTTAAACCCCATTCCTCTCTCCCCCCACCCCCTTCTTTAAAAAAATTGAGTTATTGTAATTTTCTTTCATTTTACCGACAGATTCTGCGTTTAATGTTTTATTTCCCCCTTTGCTCTTTTCTCTCTAGCTCTTTTTTTCCCTATTTTATTTTCTGTAGAAATTCCTTCAAGTGACAACAAGTCTTCTAAACCTTTACCACTGGTACCTACGCTACCCCCAGCCGTAGCTCCACCCACTACAGATGTCCTCATGCAGGAACATCGAAATTGGGGGGCAACTACATTTCCCTCCTCCATGCTGGAGGTCATTGCGATGACCTCTGAGATCGACACACTCGATTTAACAAGTAGAGTCAAAGATGTTCTTCAGTTTCATAATCTCGGCCAGAAACTGTTTGGTGAAGCTGTTTTAGGGCTATCCCAGGGTTCTGTTAGTGAACTACTCTCTAAACCAAAACCTTGGCACATGTTAAGCATCAAGGGGAGAGAACCCTTCATTAAAATGCACTTGTGGCTGAGCGATCCTCAGAATATAGATAGATTAAAACATTACCAAAGTCAAATCAAAGGTAGGTCCACTCATCACATGCAAGTGGTGCCTGTCTAATCCGCCTGCTAACATTTCGGCATGTTGTTATTTTTAACCTTCTTATCGCCATCAAAACAAATTTATTACCAAAAACGGTGTTTGGGCATGTCATTGTTATAAAAAAGACAAATTAACAATTCTGCTTCGGTGCTAATCTAATTAACCTATCCCTGACGTCGATCAGTATGATGTAAAAACATGACGTCACCCAATCAAATCATGTCGTCATCAGCATCGCTTTTTCAAAGTGATGCTATTTTCTCCGACAGTCTAAAAATTCTCTGAATGGTCAAATTTGAATTTCGGGTTTTCTGATCAAAATATATCTGAACATGAGTACGATATCATTCTGCCAGATATGAAAATCTTTTTTGAGCAGCATTTAGAAATTGACACACGAATAAACACAAAAACATAATATGAAACATGATAACTATTTTAATTAAAGCGACGTTTCGTTGAGGGGTTCTCTCAACGTTATCAAAACAAATGTCGCTTCAATTAAAATAGTATTTGTGTTCCATGTTGCGTTGTTCCGTTTATTAGTTGTGAACTTTTTGTAAAAATTGCTGTTATCAATGAAAGAGGCGTAGTCACGTTGTTATCAAGGAGACGCGGCTATCGTAACTCTGGGGATAGGTTTATTATCAATCCACATAAACTTATAAACATTTTATAAATCAAAGTATTAATTGGCTTGGCTCTCTAACAACCGCTTTATGCATGACTCCAGACATACATTTGGCAACAAATGCAAAATGAAAATATTAATAATAATTATTCATATCCAAATTATAGAAAATCTACTCATATCCTCATGAAAAAAATCTACTTGACTCAAATCCCCATAAAAATATCTACTCAAATCCCCATGGAAAAAAATCTACTCAAATTTTCATGAAAAAAAATCTACTCATATTTTCATGAAAAAAAATCTACTCAAATCCTCATTAAAAAGTCAGTTCGAATCCTCATGAAAATCTACTCAACTCTTTATAATGATCCTTGGGCTCAGAGCCACATCTGTAGAAGATATCCTAAAACAGTAACACATAAAGGACAGCCTGATTTTTTTCCAAGTCATTAAAAGTTTTCCACATTTTTGCATGAAGAAGCTGAAATCAGATCGCGGTTCATATAGATGGGGGAGGGGACTACATTTTTCTTATCAAAACTTCATAGATGGGTGACATCCTTGGTTTCCCCAGTGGTCGAATTCCGTTCTACTCCACTATACCTTGGGTTAATGCATAGGGTATTCATGTATTCAAATCATCTACTCTAGCCTTTACTAACCAGTCTTACTAAGACTCTTTAGCCTCATTGTTTACGTTCACAATATGAGAGTTACTTCCCTTTGCCAAGTTCCTGGATTTATGGATTGATTGATAAAAATAGCACAATCGTCAAGGGCAGATTACTTGAATATGTGAATACCCTATGGATTAACCCAGGGTTTAGTGGAGTAGAATGGAATGAGACCACTGGGGATGAGGTTGGTGACTGAACAACCAAACATAGTATATATACATATATATCCAATTAATTAATCCCAAACATATTAACCTTGTTAGTTACCTTTAGCACAAATTAACAAATCCCAGGTCAAAGTTCAAACTAATCAATCAATGTCTACTAATTTATGTATGTTGAGAAATGGAAGGGACGGTTGGAATATGGATATCGGTGATTGGAAAAACCTGCAGTAAACGGAGTTGATGTGATGGCCTCTTAACAATCTCTTTTTATTCAAAGGAACTCATTGAGAATTACTGAGAAACATCAAGCATTATAGTGGGGAATACTGTGATTTGTAAACTCTTTGTCTAGCATAAATAAAAGTGAAGCTTCATGTGTCTTAATTTTGGTCTCTTAAAGTACTAATGAAAGTAACCTAAAATATGATAATTACCTTGATGTTACGTATACGTAGTAGCTTAGCTTCATATATACAATAATTACCATGATCTTACATTTATCAAAATGAAAGTAGCTTCATATACATTAAATACCATGATCTTAAATTTATCAAAATGAAAGTAGCTTCATATACAAAAAGTTCCATGATCTTAAATTTATCAAAATGAAAGTAGCTTCATATGCATTAAGTACCATGATCTTAAATTTATCAAAATGAAAGTAACTTCATATACAAAAAGGTTCCATGATCTTACATTTATCAAAATGAAAGTAGCTTCATATACAAAAAGTTCCATGATCTTACATTTATCAAAATGAAAGTAGCTTAAGATAAAATAAGGATTACCATGATCTTACATTTATCAAAAATGAAAGTAACTTCATATACAAAAAGTACAAAAATGTTACATTTATCAAAATGAAAGTAGCCTAAAATACGATAATTAAAATATAAATGTTTTCAGGAAGTATGTTCTGATACAATTCATCAAATTGGAAAGATTTGCTTTAGCAGTAATTTCTTTGGTTCTCCATGTTCCTCTGATTGGCTCTACTCGCTTCGCACAGCTTTGCACGGCTTATATTAAAATGGTGGTTGGGCTATTTATTGATGTACTGTTATAAATATATTGATATATTTTATATAATGTATTTTTATATCGTTCAGGCCAGACCAATTTTATCTTTAGTTCTTCGGGCTTCCCCGTCTTCATTAGCTCAGTCGGAGCAGAACAGTAAGATGTTAAACCCAATTTCATTTCATGAGTTGTCACTCAACTCAAATGAAAAATGTTTCCGTTTAAATTTCAAAACTTAAAATAAAATTTTTGAGGGGAGCAACCGGATGAAATAGGGTGGGAATCATTTAAAAGGGCTTCCCAAAGAACAAAAATTAAACTTGGTATGGCCTTGTTATGCTGAAAAGTTTTTAAAATGTTAAAAATATGAAGACCCTATTTCACAAAGACTATAAGTTGTATGTACAGGTACTTCTGGTGTGTAATCTCTACATAGATATTTAAATATCCTGTGTGAAATAGGGCCGAGGACAAGTGCCTGATCATAATAGTTAGTTATGATGGACTTGTCTCAGTTTCCCACGTGGCAAACATCCCTATATAAAGGTCATTAGACCGTTCTCGCAGTCCATCTATTTTAAGGTCCATGCTTAGACTAGTGTCTGACCAGGAATCAAATGGTTCCTCGGAGGTACCAAAATTACTTCATTACCCTAATAATACAATCTAATTAAAACACAGATCCTATTTCATTTCATTTTTATAGTTCAAAATTTCGTTTTACTTGTCTTTACTACACTAAGATCTGGAAGAGTTGTTATCATTGACGTGTTCTAGATGATGTGAGGGATTAGCCAATGAAGCGGTCTGTTCCGGCGAGTACTCAGCCTTTTAATGCACAGAACTGTGGGTAAACCACTAGAAACGTCAACGCGATTGATTAATCAATGTCTGACATCATAGGGTCAAAAGCCGCTAGTTTGACCTCTGACGTGAACTCCCACTACAACTGGTCAGATCTTCATGTAATATAAGCCATCGAAAGTATAAAAAAACGAAACGAAATATAGATCTGTATTTTAATCAGATTGCCTAATAATAACAAAAATAGATTCTCATTTAAATCTCAATTTAATTTTTAGTAAGCTCGACTACACTATACGAAGAGCTATGTATTTCCTTATCAATTGTTTGTTCTGTGTGATATCTGGGTTAAAGCATTGTGATTGGTTAAAGAAACCATCTACCCCGAGTCATCACTCCATTTCATTCTGTTTGTCTTTTTGAGATTTGGACGCTGAGCAAATTCTCAATAATTTTATATTTTTATGTCAGCCCTGTCTCAGTTGTCATAAAATTTTATGTTTAGTATTCAGTTTAAGGTTTTTATTGCCTTATTGAACCAAGTAGGTTATCAAATGACAGCTTTACCACATGGATGGTCAAATCCGTTAATCTATGTCGATGAAATTATCACTGATTGTTTCTTTCTATTTATTTTCAGCTCACCGAAGGAGAAAAGGCAGCTTAGATGATCGGTATTTTGAATCTCCATCACAGCCAAAGAGACCCAGGGTATTTTTTAACGAAGATCAAAAGGATGTGCTACGATTAGCTTATACCCAGGACCCTTACCCTAACCAGAGTACCATCGAGGCGTTAGCAACGGACCTGGGAGTCGGGGTAAAAACTGTCATAAACTGGTTTCATAATCACAGAATGCGCGCTAAGCAACAGCATCACGCGGGTGGTACGAATGCTACGCAGCAAAATGGGAATGCAGATGCCATTAAAAGTGAACCTCATGATGAAAGCTCCAATCAGAGTGAAGGTTCTAGCTTATCAGGAGAAAACGCTCGGCATTTAAGTGGAGGAAGTAATAGCAGCAGAGGTTTCGGTCGAAAGGAAACCCAGCAATGGATGTTCCCACAGTTTGAACCTGTTAAACACAGCAGACATAAACACTCGTCGGGAGAGGATGAAGATGGCGGCTCGGAAAACGATGATATAAACATGCATTCATATAACGACGATGATGGAGGTTCCGACATCGACGCAGAAGCTGAGGACGAGATCGATGGAGACAAGCCAAAATGCTTTTGGGAAAATCACGAATCAAACACGGATTATAAATCTAATCCGACCCCGCAATCTGCAAGTGTGAATAAAAGAAAGCGATCAAACCCGCAAAGGGTTTTTGAGGGAACTCAATTGGATAAAACTGAAACGCGAGTCCCGAAAGGCAATGGTGCTATAAAAGATTCAAAAGAAGCAGACGGGAAAAATCTGTCGGACGACGCAAATAATGATGTCGAGGAAAACGACGATAATGACGGAGAAAGTGACTCTGAACTATTATGTGAGCGTGTGAAAAAAATTGAGAAACTTCAGAAAGGAGTCGAAGGTGTGTCGGAAATATGGGACGATGTCGATCGCGGTGCAAACATAAACAAACTCGAAAAAAACATCGAAAATGATTCCAGTGAAGATTGGGAATTTTGAAACTTGTTACCTCATGGTAGCGTAGCTTACAGATAATATCACTTTTTAAACTTTGTTACCAAAAATATATGGTAAAAAAAACAAATCTATTTTTGTACTTTTCACGATACTTTTAATTGACTATTTTTATTCTTTTACTCTTCAAATGTTTACGAAGATTTACTCTGACACATTTATTGTATCATATTTTACAAGTGCTTTAGTCCAGTTGTCATGTTCAATGCTCGTCGTGTTAAAACAACTTATTACAGATTTTAATTGAAACTTTTTTCCTTTTATTTTTTTTTTTTTCTCTCTCAAACTTTGACTATCTGCAGATAATACATTTTATGAAACAGAATCTTTATAGGTGACTTTTCTACTAAGGAGGCTAAACACAACTGAAGGACTTCAGAAATATAAAATCTGGCATTATCATTACATAACAAAATTGTTCTCTAGGTAGGAACAACACGACTCGACACCAGAGAAATTCTTGCGTTACAGCATGAATGTAATGCTAATGTTGTTGTTGCATTGCTCATCAGCTTTGGATGGAAATTGTAAAGAAGCATAACTTCTTTTGCTTTTTAATGTTACAACACAATTTATATGGAAAGTAATCACTGGTTTGTACAACGATATCACTTCGGTGGAAGCAGACATTAAATACACTTATTACCACGATTAACACAAGGTACAATTTTATGGATACACAATTACTCACTTTAATACTAAGCGACGTAATTGTGTATCCATAAAATTGTACCTTGTATTAATATGTTCAATTACTAAATGCCAATCAAAGAAGATATTACCACGATGTTTTGACAAGTTAATGTTCCCTTATTGTTATCAAGCGCAAAAGATTTGTGCTTGAATACAATAAAAGAACACTTGTCGAAACGTCGCGATATATGTGTAACTTCTAGTGATCTAATTCTGGCCTCTATTAAAACCGACGAGCACAATTTTGAAACAGCATCCCACATACCAATGATTTATTTCCATATAAATTGTGTTGTGTTTTTTTATTGTGCTCAATTGTTAAATGCCACTCAAGGATTATGTCCCTTGGAGTCGTCTGGTTGTGGTTATCTTTTTTATCGGGCTCTAAAGCCGCTGGTCGTGATTGAAAGGATTTTGAATCCCTTGAAAACTATATCTCGAAAATTGAATCTCAAAAATGTATTATTCAAAAACAGTTCATTTCTGGTCAGATGGGATGAACTAAAAATTTCATAACATTGGGTACTCTCAGTAGTCGATATAGATAAGCCAAAGGCGGAAGATAATCTGTCATTAATATTTTGGTTTTGTTTTCTTAATTAAAACTGTTAATTAATCAATTTAAGACGTGAGTACAAACCATGAAAGAAATAGATACTGTCTAAAATATTCACGATCGTGATCAGCGACTTTAAGCTTTACACTTCGTTGATCTGTTAAAATCAATAACTACTTCATTGATCTGTTAAAATCAATAACTACTTCATTGATCTGTTATAATCAATAACTACTTCATTGATCTGTTAAAATCAATAACTACTTCATGATATCTTATCGACTGGCTTACACTAATTATATATATATACAAATTTTATGTTATGTCATATAATCTAATGCAATATAGATATATATATAAATATAATACCACATATAAACTTTAATATCTATATAATATATAGACAACTGCCAAAATAAACTGGATTTGTATCGATCAAAGTGCCATCGTCATCTTCGCCTTAGGGGTGAATGAAACTAGCTTTAATTTTTATGACTCACTAATATCCATTCACAGACTTGACTTTAGGTTGTAAGAATTCGTGTAGCATGAATTTTAAAAAACCTAACTAACGGTAATTGAATTTGAAAAAAAAAAGTTTCATGAAATGTATGTCTGCTATTTTTTTTTTGATTATTAAAAGTTGTGTTGTTGAACTGATACGATGAAAATACATTGAAACGAAAAACTGTTAAATGTTGTGAACCACTGCCTCTTCTTTCAAAATCTATGCACTATTTTTTGTCTCATAGACAATGACGATTTACTGTCTATTTATCTGCGAGAAACTGATAATAGCAGATTATTTTTATTTCTAGGTGAGAAATTTCCCTCGGCCTTAAAGGATAAATTACTGTGTAATAATCTCAGTATGGCCGAGGTGTCGCATTTAACTCTTGTGCTGTGAATTTTACAGATTTTATTTCGTTTCATTTTTTGTATTGTACGTGACAAGGAGTGGGAGCGCCTGTCCAACCTCGTGGGTTTTCTCCGGGTCCTCTGTTTTCCTCCCACTGCTAAAGACCCCTATGGGCAAGCGAATTATTGAAATAAGAATTAAACCATATGTTATTCCTGAAATGACCTAGTTTGTGTCTAGTGGACGTTAAAGCCTATTTTTCTCTCTCTCTTTCATTTTTTGTAGTTCAAAATTTTGTTTTACTTTTCTGTACTACACTAGGATCTGGATTAGCCAATGAAACGGTCTGTTATGGACAGTTTTGGCGTGAGATGAACGGAACTGTGGGTAACCCACTAGAAACGACAACACTGATTGATTAATCAATGTCTGATGTCATAGGTCGCTTGTATGACACCTGACAGGACGTTCCACTACAACCTGTCAGATCTTCATGTAGTGTAGGCCATCGAAAGTAGAAACGAAACGACATATAGATCTGTAATCAGATTGATACAAAGTTATTGGGGAGGTTGGATGGCTGAATGGTTAGCGTGTGCGCGCTGTATCATAAAGTCTGTCATTGAGTCGACTGGTGTGGTTTCGAATCCCCGGTTGTACGTGACAAGGAGTAGGGTCGCCTGTCCAACCTCGCGGGTTTTCTCCGGGTCCTCCGGTTTCCTCTAACTGCTAAAGACTCCTATGCGCAAGCGAATTATTGAAATAAAATTAAATCATATGTTAGTCCCGAAATGACCTAGTTTGTGTCGAGTGGACGTTAAACCCCATTTCTCTCTCTCTCTCTCACAAAGTTATTGATGAATAATTCTTGTCATTAGATTAAATTTGAATTCTTTTTTGTCTGATCATTCAATCCACATCTGTATGATGTATGTATTTCGATGAAAGAATGGCCGAAATCCATCCCACTTCCTATTGGCCCTGCTCAACTATTTAATGGGTCCAGCCCATGCTCTACCCCATTTGTTTTATCACAAAAAGAAACATCTTACCTAGTGCTCAGTCTATGAATTGCCATGGTAACAGTTTGTCACTAGGATGAATAAACAATAATCTGCTATTATTTCTCATTTCTCACTGCACAAAATGTATGAATTGCATCTTCCAATGATATATTATGCACTAGTCATTATGATACAGATCGTTCTAATGGTGGTAGACTTTATAAAACTTAGTTATTACCGATAATTTTCATTGTTTGACTCTTTTAATTCCAAATTTTTGAGAATTGTGCAATAGAAATTTTCTAGGTTTAAATATAAAACAAATGATATATACCTAACAATCAAAGTTGATTTTGTTCAATTCGACCGGGGCTTTCATTTCATGCGTGTTTACAGGCCATGACTGACTGGCTGTCAATTTGACCAGATGGAAAAATTCCATTAAATTAGAATTTCAAAGAATTTGATTTCAAAACAAAATAAATGCATTTAAATTTTTAGTTTTTTTAAATTTGAAACATATTTTTTGAATTGGAATATTCTTTAGAAAAAATATTGTTCTTATCTGAAGTAAACAAAACTAGGCAAAAATTGACCAACTGATCGAAGCTTGAAGTGGAAGCCCAGAGTTGATACATAGCTAGGTTATTTTAATAAACAAACGAACGAACGACTTGAAAAAGATAATCGTGCAATACAATCAAATCAAAATACTATGGTTAAAACTAAAAAGAGACAAAAGATTATTTTTACAGAGTCTTGATATGGGAATTAATTTAGTTAATTACATTGCAATGTTTTAATTGTTATTTTTTGTTGTTAAAAGAAATTGATATTAATTTTCTGTTGAATTACTATTCTTACTTTTAACTTTGAGAAAATATTCTGCAATATTTTAGGGTGCAATATCGGCAATGGTCTTGATAGTGTTCAACAATTTTTGTTTAGTTATTATTTTTTTTTTTGTAGTGTTAAATTGTTTTTCCTTGCCATAGAATTCATGCATAAACTGAAAATAAATTTGGTAAATTTGCCAACTTTATAGAATTTAGAAATTCCGTGCCATCCTAATTTCTAAGATTAATCATTTCTGGGAAATTTTATTATTCTTTCTCGCTTATTAAAAATTATTACTTTTTTTCGCTTCATAACATTATTAAATTCAAAGCTTTAAAAAAATTCTGTTATTAATTCAGATTATAGAAATACTTGTTTACGTCGATGTTAATAATTTTAATATTTCTGTTATTTTTTTTTTTTTTTTTTTTTTTTTTTTTTAGAAAAAATTAGTGCTTTTATTGTTGGTTTAATATAAATAAATGCTACTTTAGAGAGAACTATGCCAAAGAATTATTGATCGAAGACCTTTTTCTTTTTGTTTAGGGTTTTCTTTTATTTATCCGTTTTCTTTATCAAAGACTTTTGAAACCAAACAAAAATAACAAAGATCTCAGAAATGTTCATTCGTAATTTAAAAGCTTTATTCCGTAAAATAAATCTCATGAAGAATATTTTTGGACCAGGAAGTCGGCGCCAACTGCTATTCATCTTGCTGTTCTTGGGGACTGGGTGACGTTCTTTTAAAAAATCCTAATTTATACCTCCGTCAGTTCATGTATTTTTGTTCCTTGAATGATTGCACATTGATTGACAGACTATGATTTTTGATAGGGCGTCACAAATCCAAGATGGCTGCAATGAGGTCACATTCATTTCCTGGTCCATAGTACAATAGTATTTGTTTTTTTAAATAATGTTCTATCACATCGGACAGTTGATTTACAAATTATCCTTATAAAAAACAAATTCACTTACAGATCTGAATATCTTATTAATCTCGCTTAATCTCGATTTATCTCTGTTTATTATTTATTTTTAGCGCTTAATGTATTTAAATAACTCGTTAGCAACTTACCAATTTAATTTTTTTGATAGTTACTGGTTAATCTTATCTAATATCAAGTCTTTTTAATCTTGGCTACTCTGCACAGATCTTGATAATCTCGACTATTCTGTGTAGTATACATTTATAATTAATTTTTGTTTGTCAAGTTACATCTGGTTAATCTTGACTATATTTAGTGTT